AGAGAGAGGGAGAGAGAGAGAGAGAGAGAGAGAGAGAGAGAGAGAGAGAGAGAGAGAGAGAGAGAGAGAGAGAGAGAGAGAGAGAGAGAGAGAGAATAAGAGAGGGTGCATGAATGTATGCATACGTGCTTATGTGCGTGCATGTGAATGTGCGTGCGTGTGAATGTGCGTGCGTATGAATGTGTGTGCGGGTACATGTACATGCCCGAGTCAACGAAAACAACAGTAAGGCAGAATGACTTGCTCTGCCGTTGGCCTGGGGTCATGGCAACCACCCACCCAGCACGGCGACCACCTGAAATATCCTTGGATTTTACGCCCACAAACATCAACCAGTGGGTAACCCACGTCAGCCCCGTCGCCAAGAAGCCTTCCTGCGAAAACTCCCTCAATCACTGCTGACACTCGCGGGGAAATCCCCTGAGGAAGACGTCGAGTGTTGCCTTCCTCATGGACGCGCTTTCCTCTCTAGAAATTCCTCCACTGTACCTTCTTTCCCCATCCGTGTTCCCCTTTCATATCTTCTCTCAACAGGCGACCCAACAGAAATAATAACTTCTTCGCTGAGGACCACCGCCCCGGATTGAGGGGCGCGTGAGGTTCGCGGACGTACCCGGCAGAAGCGGAGGCAACATGTGAAACCCATCACAACTTTTTCGTCACTCATTTCTGCGAAGTCGAATGGGTTCTTCGCAGCAACGACCTGCTGCACCAAGAAGAAAAAAAGGCTGACTGACTGACAAGAAGACCCCCAACGTGTATTTTAACGTTCATTCTTCTGGTATAGTTTTATAGGTTTTTACTGGCCATATGCTCGATATAATACGTTACTCAGGTATCATATTCTAACCCTCTCCCTCTCCCTCTCTACTTCACCCTCTGCGCACACAAACTCTACGTGATCCTCCAGCGTGCGCAGCCCTCATTTCCTCTCAACCAACGAGGTCTGCTCTTAGAGGCAAACCCTAAAGACTTCACCCGCGTGGTTTTCCTAAACTAATTAGAGAGAGGCGCGAGGTGAGGCTGTCACTCGCGCCCACAATGACACTCCCGCCCGCCCACCCTGCCAAGACGTGCCCGCCTCCTGGCACTGCCCTGCTCGCGCCGCCGCCGCTGGGAACCCCGTGTTGGCTGCCCGCTGCCTGCGCCTCTACATGTCGCCTTGGAATGCTCGCTCTGGTTCTCCCCTTCGCGCCGGTGCACATTCGTATTTGCACGTATAATATTGTACTAAATAGTTAGTAGTAGTTGCAGCAGCAGTAGTAGTGGTAATGATGGTGGTAATAGTAGTAGCAGAAGTCGTAGTAATAGTAATAGCAGAAGTCATAGTAAGAGTAGTAATAATAGTAGTAGCAGATATCGCAGTAATAGTAATCATTGTAGAAGTAGTAGCAGAAGTCGCAGTAACTGTAATCATCGCAGAAGTAGTCGTCGTAGTAGTAGTCGTAGTAGTAGTCGTAGTGGTAGTCGTAGTAGTCGTAGTCGTAGTCGTAGTAGTAGTAGTAGTAGTAGTAGTAGTAGTAGTAGTAGTAGTAGTAGTAGTAGTAGTAGTAGTAGTCGTAGTCGTAGTCGTAGTCGTAGTAGTAGTAGTAGTAGTAGTAGTAGTAGTAGTAGTAGTAATAGTAGTCAAGAGTAGGAGTCATTATAAAAGTTGTAGTAGAAGTCGCAGTCGTATGAGAACACGGCTAAGAGTAATGAGTAACAAGGATATTCAAACGTTAATAAAAGGTGTAACAGTTAAAAGGAGATATAGCAACAGTGTCAGCAGTGGTAGTAACGTCACAATCAACATTATCACTAAAATCACAATTATGTAAAAAAAAAATAAGGCAATAATAGAATCATATTATCATGATCGCATTATTATTATCATTATTGTTATTGTCATTATTATTACTATTATCATTATTATTATTATCATTATTATTATTATTATTATTATTATTATTATTATTATTATTATTATAATTAGTAGAAGAAGAAGAAGAAGAAGAAGAAGAAGAAGAAGAAGAAGAAGAAGAAGAAGAAGAAGAAGAAGTAGTAGTAGTAGTAGTACTACTACTACTACTACTACTACAACTACTACTACTACTACTGTTGCTGTTGCTACTATTGCTAGCTATGTTAATAATAATGATATTGATAATGGTAACGATGACGATAGACACAAGTGATGCACTAAAAGTGCTTCATTCGCATGTGTTTTCTCCTTGACAGACGCTGCCTTAAGTTTCCTTTCAGAATCTTGCGACCGGGCGTAAAAAAGGTGTAAAATAACCACGTCACAACCGCAGCCACCGCCACAACAATGATAATAATAATTCACACTTTAACACTCCCAAGTTCCGCCTCCCTGACGCCCGGCCTCGACAAGCTTCGCCCTCGCAACAAGATCAGACCGACCAGACCCAGGGAGAAAAATGCCGAGGTTCCTGTAACCCAACCGCCTTTATTTGAAGGGCCGATTGAGAGAAAAAAATCATGGGCGATTATTCTCCATCGATTTTGAAGAAAATTCTAAATAAATATGACTTCCATGTCGACTGGTACTGCATCTTTAAAAATATCCAATCAACAAACTATTTTTACCATGAAACTGGAACCTTAGCATTTTTCACTAAACCCCATTACAAGCGAGCGCATCTTGACCCTTACTGCCGAGTAGGTCAAGTCTCTTCAAGCCCCTCTTGGTACAAAGCCATTCGCAGCATCCAGACGTCACTTCCTCTTAGGCCTACACACCCTATCTCGCCCATTCATCTCGAGGGTTCCGTCCTTTTTTGTCTTTATTGAGGAGACACCCATCATTAGCACTCCGGTCATCTGTCATCCTCCAACCGTGGCACTCAACGTGGTCTCGCCTCACGCTTGTTCACGCCACACCTCTGGGCTGCCGCGACACGCCGTCCGCACTACCACATCTCTCATCCTTTGCTGAATGATGAGACGCGAAAGGCTATGTTACGTCCTCCGAAACTTCGGTTCCCCCTTGCTACCGAAGCGATCGTCTGCAGTCATAAGACGTGTCCCACGGCAATGATGCTCCCCCGCAGAGACAAGGCCTCTGTCACCGCCGCGCCCAATAATCACCGCAATGGGCGACAGGGGCGGAGGGGAAGGGCAGCCCCGACATGAGCAGCCCACGTCTCATAGCTTGATCCATCTGTCACCATCAAGCCAGGTTCAGTCACGTGGGGCTGTTTATCACAAGCACCTCTAATTGTCATCGCCATACCTGCAGCTACGAGACCTTGTACTTTGTATATGTCCTAGGCTCTAATTGATGTCCAATGTCACAATAACAAGTATAAGCACTTGGCATCAATTACCATAATAAAACCTGATAGCCCGTCACAGGAAATCTGTTATTACGACCGCCATTCCTCACGATTTGAAATGGCACTAAAACATTATTTATAGGACGTGACTAAATGTACCTTACCGGATGAAATAAGAGACAGTTAAGGAGAAGGATAAAGGAAAGAGAAATGCGATATGAAAGACCAAGGAAATAAAAGAAAGGTAATTTGAAATAAAAGAAAGGCAATTTGGAAAAACAACAACAGTGAGATATGCGTCTTAGCTACAACTTTCTCTCAAGAAAAAATGCATGACCCAAGGCAGTTGGCATGCTGACGACTGATGTGACCCATGACCACCAAGAAACCTAATGAGAGACAAGATAACCTAAACAATGACACAAGGACATTCAGTCGAGTCATCGCTTTATCTATACCCTTAAACCTCAAGTTCGGGGGATATGTAACCCTACAACCTAAGGCAGTATTAAACAAGGACGAACAAATCGTTGTCAATCTTTTCGTAATCAATATGTCGTCACTAACCACACCCCTTATAATCAAATGAATCATACCGCTCACTGAAAGAAGCCAAGGGACACTGCGAGGCAACATGACACGGAAATACCAGCATCTAAATAACACAAAGTCATGTAGATATGACAACAATAACGCAGTCTGTTCGTGGGATGATTTAGGTCAATATGAATAAAACATGTTTGCAAGCTTTCACTCCTTTTATCTCAAGATTATCTTAATAACAATGAAACCGACGCCCGAGAGAGACGAGAAAAAACGAGAAAATAAAAACTTTACGGCCAGGATTAAACACAATCTAAAAAAAAGGCAGAAAAAAAGAGAAAATTCAGAACCCCGAGACGAGTATGTCAAGGACCTCACGGGGCGCTGAAGGTGTCTTCTTGTGGTGAAGACGTGTGAACATTATCCCGACTTACTGTGTAAAGAAGATGCACTTCATCTTAGATCCTCCTTTGAAGGAGTTCTTTGCTCATGCGAAGGAAGCGGAGGAAGCGGAGGAGGAGGAGGAGGAGGAGGAGGAGGAAGAGGAGGAGGAGGAGGAGGAAGAGGAGGAGGAGGAGGAGGAGGAGGAGGAGGAAGAGGAGGAGGAGCATGAGGAGGAGGGGGGAGGGGAGGAGGAGAGGGAGGGGGAAGAGGAGGAAGAGGAGGAGGAGGAAGAGGAGAAGGAAAAGGAGGGGGTAGAGGGGGATGAAGGGAAGAGGGGGAATAGGAGGAAGAGGAAGAGGAGGAGGAGGAGGAGTGGGATAGGGGGGGAGGGGGAGGAGGAGGAGAATGAGAAGCAGAAGAAGTAGAAGGAGGAGGTGGAGGTGGAGGAGGGACGGGAGGGGGAAGTAGAGGGGCGCGTGAAGGGGGAGGAGGGGCGGGAGGAGGGGGAGGGGAGGGGAGGAAGAGGGGGGGGAGGAGGAGGAGGAGGAGGAGGAGGAGGAGGAGGAGGAGGAGGAGGAGGAGGAGGAGGAGAAGAAGAAGAGGAGGAGGAAGAGGTGGGCGGGGGATGGGAAAAGAAGAAGGAAGGGGAGAGCGAGGGGGGAGGGGGGGCGAAGGCGGAGGAGAAGGAACTGGGAGAGCGGGAAAAGAAAGGCTGAGATTAGAAATACGCTGCCAAAATCAAACAACTGATCACCTTCCTCCTCCAGCGCGCTGACAGTGACATCGAATACTCACCGAGAGTTCAGGAGGATATACGATGAAGTGGCGCAAAGTGAAGCCGAAGCCGTGGTCAGTTCTGCTGATGGTGATGAGACGAGGACCACCACGTGATGTCTGTAAGAAAAAACGGAAAGCAGGTTAAGTAAAACTGCCATATGATGATGATAACAACAACAACAACAACAACAATAATAATAATAATAATAATAATAACAACAACAATAATAATAACAATAACAATAATGATAATGATAATAATGATGATGATGACGATGACGATGACGATGATAATAATAATAAAACAAAAACACCACGAATACAAAAATACTACCAACCCCTGGGGATGAAAAAAGAACTGCCACGTGACCAAAACGTGATCGACAAGTATCAGCCTCACAAAGGTAAAGGAAATCGAAACGCAAGAAACCAAGGAGAGATAATTACCGACCTTCTTGGCCTTGGACTGGGACCGACAAATAATGGAAGCTACGGAGGTCATTAAGGGCCCCCGTGTGATTACCTATAAATCGACGTGACGCCCTCGATTACTTTCACGCGAAAAGCCGCCAAACCTTCAATTTTTGCGGTCTTTATCACTGGGGAAAATATCGAGTCATTTGGCACTCTCCTTTTCCGCTGGGTCTTTTCCCTCACTTTTAAGGGTTTTTCCCTCAGTGCTTCTGCGCAGCCCCCTCATCCTCTCTCTCTCTCTCTTTCTCTTTCTCTTTCTCTTTCTTTCTTTCTTTCTTTCTTTCTTTCTTTCTTTCTTTCTTTCTCTCTCTAACCCTTTCCCTTCCCCCTAACCCTTCCTCCCATTAAGCCTGAAGATCCGTCTCAAAGAGGGGTGTAAGAGTTAGAGCAGCTCCCTGTCACGTCCAAACACCTGCTCCCGCCGCCAGCGTACGCAAACCGCCTTCTGCGACGCCCTACAAATCCAACACACTCATGACCCAGGCAACCAGGCCGAGGTACCCGATCTACATACAATGAGCGAGTTGCAGTCGCTCCAACACGGAACTTTGACAGACCGCCGGAGTGGGTTCCTTACCTTAAAAAAAGACAAGAAAAAAAAATGTCCCTCTTGCTTATCCTCTCTGCCACTTCCCTTTCGTCCCTCAACTCTAACCAAGGAGCCACATCCCGGCCAAGCCCTCCTCCCGCCCCTCTCGCTCCCAATGTCCGCTCCCACGCCTCCCCTCGCGACGGGTTCGCACACACATGTGCATCGTGCTGTCATGAATACGTGCGTATTTCATATGTCCGTCTTCATATCTACGCATGTTTTATACATATATATATGCACTTCTTTCATATCTGCAAACGTACTTTATACATTAAATTATATAAAAAATCGACACAGCCACAAATAAGAATATTCGGACATAATTTATACATTAACTCGTATCGTATAAAAAATGCCTTGCCTTCATATTCAAAATAATCGAAGATAGACTGAAACAGTGCGCGCACGCAGGCACGCACGCTCACACGCGTACACACAGACACACACAGACACCCAGAGCCAATACACGTCTCCGCGCCACCATTTATCCCCCCGACACGACTCTCAAACGCGAGGACAAACAGATTAAGTAGCCCGACTCCTTGCTCACAAACCATACTCCTTGTCATTATCCTTCACCATCCATCTTCATACATTTGGCCCTTTTTCACCCTTCTATGCTTCCATTCTTTGGCACTGAGCCCTTCTGAGCACTATTATTCTTCCTCATTTTGCCATTTATCACACACTTACCCCTCCCCCTTTCCTCGCACGTCTGTCTCTTAATTTTTGGTTCTTTCGCCTTCCGTGTCTCAACCTATTCGCCATACTCGCTTGCAAGTCTTTATTAGTCTCCCTCTTTTTCGTATTCTTCTTGAATCCCTTTCCCACGCTCACCGAGAAACTTTGTATCAGCTCTCCCCTTTCTTTTTCATTTTTTTTACATCCTTATCCGCTTTTTTATATTTCGAATGCGCCTCGTCTATTAACTTACCGTATTGTGTCCAGCTCAACTTAATGCCTCCAATATTTCCTCTCTTGTGTTGCATTCCCTCACTTCTTTCATTCCACGTATTGTGTTCATTCCCTTTCTTAACCATTATGCTATGTTCCCTGTACATTTTCTCATTTACTCGAGTCGTGTCCAACCCATTTCCTTGCCCCTTCCTCGTGCCCCAAGTTCGCATTGCTTTGCGAAACATTTACCCACCATCTTGGGCCCCACTTACTTGCTGCTGTGTTTCCATTCACTCCCAGTCTAGTGTTCTATTTTCTCACACCCCGGTGTTCTCATTTGTTCGCAGTGTCGCGTTCCCATTTACCCAGTGGCGGCACCTCCTTCTCCACCTCGCCCGCCGCGCCCCCGTGCCTCTGCCTCCCCATGATTGCATTTAACCAACAATTTATCTAAAATGCTTCCGGGTCCCTTCTTTCGCCTCTCTGCCGCTCCCTCTTCCTCATTCACACACATACACCTAGAGCCCCCTTGCCGTCCCTAGTCTCCCTCGCCGCTTACCCACTTGCTCCCTCCCCCCTTACTCACTCCCTCTCCACCCACCTACCCGCCCATCCTCCACTCCCTCCGCCCACTCACGCCCGGGAAAACAAACAGCAGCTGGCAAGGTGAAGGGTTATGGCTTCCCCGGGCAAAGGGGGCGAGGCTCTTTTTTCCAAGGGGACCTCGTTAGCCCTGATGAAATATGAGCGCATGTGATCACGTCCTTCAATTTCTATAATGAAATCCTGCACGCACTACGTAGTATGTACCTCACTGGACCTTCACCGAATCCTCATCTTCAAACATAGCCTTGTCTTTACATTCCCTGTCCTAGTTTTTCCTCTTCATTTCTTCTTCGTCTCCATTTCCTCATACTCCTCATACTCTTCTTTATATTTTCCCTTGACTTTTCTACAAGCCAGTATACATGTCTCTCCTCAACCCCTCCTATACACTTCCTTGTCTTTGTTCGCCCCAGGCACTTCGCTGGATCCTGCTACGTGCAAAGTCCTCAAGGATCCTCTCCATGTTACAGGTAGTGTCGTGTTCCCTTACTGCAACCCCTTCCCTCCTCCCCTCCCCCTCTCACGCGAAGACCAGCCTCTCAGCCGCGTCCTGTTCCGCCAAAAAACGCTACTCACCCAGACAAAATAACAGAAGTTGGCGTCATCGTGTAACTCCACGCGACCCCCTTACGTAATATCAACTGCATCAGAAGACCCACTCAAAGCGAAATCTATCTCCCTCAATATTTTGGTAGCGCACCTAGAACACCCTAGCCAGCCCTTCCCCCTCCGATCCCCTGCGTTGGGACCGTCGCTCTACAAACAAGACGCCCCGCCGTAAGATGGACGAGGAAGTGTTATCTCTTTGTAACGTTAGGCACGGAGAGGTAACTTCTTCCCGTAGAAAAAATAGGAATAAGAAAGCGCAACTTTACGACGTACAAGTTGTAATCGGCGTGCTTCAGTGCTATTCATTTCCATTAATATTAATTCCGATGAAGATGAAACATCGAAACGCGTCCATTACACTCCTTACTCTCTGAATCATATGTTCTTATTCAGACTCATTTTGAATCTGTCGCTATGAACTCCGAGCGCCATCATGCTGGGGGTCTCCAACGCAGTCAATATGTCACTGCAGTTCTTATGTAGTGTAATCTGCTTAAAGCTGACTGGGAATACTGTTGAAAAATGGAAAGTGTATGATTTGTTTTCTTTGGGCAGACATTTTTTTCTTCTTGGTTCAGTATGCAAAAAAAAAAAAAAAAAAAAAAAAAAAAAAAAAAAAAAAAAAAAAAAAAAAAAATATATATATATATATATATATATATATATATATATAAATATAAATATATATATATATATATATATATATATATATATATATATATAGCCAATACCAGGCCCAAATTTCGGACGGTTAGACAAAATAAAATCCAGTTTAAGTCAAAACTATTACAACTGTAAAGGCAACCATTAACCATGGCAAAACATTTATCGCGCTCGGGAATACAACCAAAACAAAATTAGCGGGAAAAAATGTTTTATTATCTACTTCTAAGCTTCGTCTTTCTCACTGCATTAGGAGAAACATGAGGGGATATGATCTATATTAATGCTCGTAAAGTTTCACTAACACAGCCAACAACTAAATCTGTATCGACACTACCTAACATTTCTTGCCTCAAAATACCATCAACCGAGATATCGGTCAAAAAAATGTGTAAAACGCAATCCGTTAAACACAAACCACTTACGCAATAAAAAAAGGACCTTTACCATTTTGTTCGCCAGAGAAAGTTAACCCGCATAAGTGGGATTCGCGAGGCCTTGGAGGACTAACCGCGAAGGAACACAACCGCAGTTACTAACTCGGCATCCCGCAATGACCAACTCTCCTCCGACGCATAACGTTCAATCGACGTCATGATTACAGTCGTCGAATATTGTGAAAAAAGGGGATGACAATTATTAAAAAGTACTGCAACTTAAAAAAAAAGACTTAAACCAAAAGGAATCGCACTCGCTGCTTAGAAAAGCACCCTTAAGCAATGCCAGTGTTCAGAGTTAAGAATTAGCTACAGCCATCGTTAGGCTCCAAGTCCAGGGCAATAAAGCTGCCTTAAAATACGCCAAGCTGCCATAGAAAGGGCGATTGGAAGACTCGACTAAACAAGGTTTATTTGTGTTAGGTGAAATACGTGCTCGCGCCAAGTCCAACTTGCACGGCGTCCCTTCACCAGAGTAAACACGGCCGCGCTTGGAAATACATCAACACGCCTACCAACATTACGGCGCACATTTTGAGAGTAACACATCCCAAATCTGTGCCCATCGTAACGAGTACTAAAAAGGCAAGTAGGTTGAATGTAATGTAATGTTTATACGCTTTACAGATATCCACCAGAGGGTATTCCTCCGACTAGGATGTGTCCTTACGCCATACGGTAGGTCTAACAGTTGCTTCATCCTTGCCAATCGCGACCAGGTTAAATTGTTCCATGACGGCCTGGCGACAATCTTGCTATTACCCAACCAAGGCGCAGATCCTATCGAGAGAAGACATATCTACATACCTTTCGCCTAAACAGCACTAAGCTGATTTCCT